ATGACGATTCAATAGCTGTTCATAGACGCGGCAGCAGGCCGGAGACCATAAGCCGATCGGAAGAGGCTAGTAGTAGGGAAGTCATGGAGGACAGTATCGGAAAGGGGTTACCCTCAAAGGTGCCACGGCCTATGAGAGCGTCCACTTCAGCTGGGACGTCGAGTCTGAGGAACGTTGAAGCGCATATTGAAGCGCCTGAGAAGACTCCATGTCCTACCGTTTCTGATTCGCCTGTGGGTAGGGGTAGTGGTATGGCTGATGGGGTCGGGAAGGATACGAGCGGTGCTGTGGTAACGAAGCCGACTGTAGCACGGCGACAGGACAAGAAGGACCCGACCGCACAGAAGTTTACGAAACGCCGGCAGAGAAAGGGGCAAAATGTCAACCGCAAGAAAAGTGTTCTGGTCGACGATGATGTGGGCTTTGACCTGACCAAAGAAATAGCCTATCAAAATGATGCAGACGATGGAGGTACATACAGAACGCGCACCACCAACCCATTTGACTCACCAGCTATGCACCAGAACCCAGATCTGATTCCTGAAGCATCGTGTGACATCCTCTACAGGCCTCCCAATACAGACATCAACACCGACACCAACACTAACACCCACACCAATACCAATACCAACAGCAGCACTAATCAAAGTAATGCACAGAAACCCAAACCGAAGGTGCGCTCGAACCCCTTTGAAGAGTCTCCGGCGGTGGGTATGGATCATGGCTTGATTCAGGACAAACATGGCTACTCAGATTCTACAGCGGGTGCCACTACAGTCCTGCAGGCGATGCGAGCCGCGCCTGGGAACTACCAGCGGCTAGAAGATTCTCGCCCGAGTCATCCTACTAATAACAACAACTACAACAGCAACTACAACGACAACTACAACAACAACAACTTTAACGGTCCATTGTCGAGCAATTCCATGAACTCCATGAACTCAATAAACTCCATGAACACGATGACGTCGCAACCAGCCCGGCCAAACAACGGGTCTGGGCTGGCGTCTGGGTATATTGCGGGCGGGGCAACGGGAGTCAGGAACCTGCCAAACGTAGAGATCCCATCTGGCTACGGCAATGTGGGTGGGAAGGGGTATAACACGGTCATGAGCCCAGGAAGTGTGGGGGATAGAAGGTCTCGCGACCAGTTTAATGCCGATCCCAGTCCGAGGGGCCAGAACGTGTATGAGAGCCCACGGGGCGTAGCTAGGAACATCACCCCACGCGACGCGTATGGTGCACCCTCCAGCCAATCGCCGCTCAATGACTATGGCCGCGCTATGGGTAGGCAGCAATCGTATGGGAATGTCGAGGCTACTGCCAATGCCAAACCCCAGCGCGCTATGGGTAGGCAGCAATCGTACGGGAATGTCGAAGCGACTGCCAGTGCCAAACCTCACCCTGTGCCCAGGAATAAAGCCGAGTACAACAGTGATCTTAACGATAATCTGTCTGCGGGCGGGGTTGCGGGGAGTGTTTTCTCGCCATCGCCGCTAAGTAGTGAGGAGGATATACTAGACTACCAATCGGTGGCCAATGGCAAGAAGCATTCGGCCACCTTGAAACGAGTCCTATCGCATCACAGCAGCGGCGGTCTGGCGCGGCAGGCGTCGCAACTGGGTGTGGGGTACGACACCGTGCGCCAGGGAACCACCACAGCGCTAAGCAGCGGGAATAGTGGGCCTATGAGTGGGCCTATGAGTGGGCGGAAGGTGATGAGTCGTAGTCAGGACCAGCTCAATGTGCCGGGCTCACGCACACCACGAGGTATGGAGCGGGAACAGACCCACATGGTGAGAAGCGGCAGTCAGGGGCGTTTAGAGCACCGGCACGCTCCAGCTGTGAGAAGGGGAAGTCGTGGGAATGCCGAGGCAACTGCACCGCAGTATATGATGAGGTCGACGGATAGTTTGGCGAAGGATACGGATGTGCGCAAGAGCTTCCATAGCTTCTATGACCGGCCCGGTTCAAGCCACTTTGCACCTCATGAGACGCAGGATATAAGGTCGCCGGCTCAAAGTCGTCAAAGGAAGCAGAACCCTCAACGCAAAAACACGGACTATGCCAACGGCGACCCATACGGCGTGCAGAGCTATTTGACCCAGAGCATGAACAACAACAACAACAATCAACGTAACGCTAGTAATACTCAATACGGTGAGGATATCGGCAACCAGTACAATACACAGAACGGCCGGGTACAAGGACAAGGACAGCACCGCCATCCGCAGCAGAATCAGTATCAGAATCCCAGCGGTCAGCCGATGCGAGGCCAGACAGCCGCTCCCATGCAGAGGTCTATGGATCTGGACACGGCAACGTTTAATAGCGGGAAGAAGGGGAAGAAGGCGTCTCGGCGGTCCCTGAAGTCCAGGTCAATGTATAGTGTGAAGTCTATGGACGACGTCGGTGGCGACTACCGGTCGGAGAAGGACAAGAAGTGTGTCATCTCTTAGTATTGGGGAGATAGGGCTGAGGCGATAAATAAACGGTATATATATCTGAATTTATATGGATGTATGTGTACGTTTTGAAAGTATGTTTTGAAAGTATACACGGAGCTTGTATATGTATGCCAAGGTTGGTTGATCGATATGCTGTTGGGGACGTATCAGGATATATAGAACCCTGTCGACTTAAAGTTGTTTTTGGTATGCTAATTACCACGTTAGCCAATGTGTAGCCGCACTTGTTCTAAATCCAGCCCAATCCTTTTCAAAATATAGCCTCATACTTATTTTATATTCAGCCAAAAACTTATTCTAAACTTAACCTCGAAATCGGACTAAATTCAGCCTGATACTCATCCCAAATATATAGGCTATAAATACCTAGTCAAAGATTAGCGTGGTACTTGTTCTATATTTAGCCTAATACTTATTCTAAATTCAGCCTAAAGTGTGCTTTATCTCAATGCACCTTAATAAGTGCTTGATTTAAATCCAGCCTGATACTTATTCTATCTCGTAATTTCTATATTCTAAATCTAGCCTAGTACTTTCGAAATCTAGCCTAAATTCAGCCTAACATGTACTTGGCATTAAATTCAGCTGAATAGTTATTCCATATTCCCTCATACTGATCCTAAATCCAGCCTCGTACTCATTCTAAATTCAGCCTAATGCTTATTCTACATTCAGCCTCATACTTGCCCTTAATTCAGTCTCATACTGATCCGAAATTCAGCCTCATACTAATTTTAAATTCAGACTCATATTTACCCTAAGTTTAGTCTCGTACCTATCATATATTCAGCTCCATAATTATCATATATTCAGCCGTCTACTTTATCCTAAATTCAGCGACATACTTATTTTTAACTCTCCCCCAAACTAATCCTAAATTCAGCCTAGTATAATGGCGTGGACAAGATTTAAGACGCATATGCTCCAATTTCTTATATATTTATCCACCATTAATAAACATACTCTTAAGAAAATTCTTTAAAATATAGAATCCTTTTAATTCCATATGTACAGTATGCTAATCCTTTCCTGGGAAATTTACTTGTAGCCAAAGTGCGTTGTTTTAACAGTACCACAGGCCTCAACGTGTATAGCTTGCATGACCCAAGCTTCTCTAATATTTAACACTACGCAACATGCGTTTCCCACACAATCCCCAGTAGTGTCCGTTCCATTTGTATATATCTACGTTCCCGCGAGGGACTCATACAACCCTCTGAGCAGATATACTTTCCACGATATCATATGATATCACGGGATTTCTGATACCCCTTTACGCGTTCATGTTCTGCCGACTGCTGTTCATGAGTTCGTACATCTCGTCCTTTTCTCCGGGCGCCATTCGCTCGATCAGATGCATGAGACAGTTTACGGCACTGTCGTTGTTGGCGTCGATTATGTTCTCCATGTCCTTCATTTGTTTTGATCGTCGGATTCCCTTGACGTTCTCCTGTATGGGCGAATGGGTGTGGGTGAAGATGTGTCAGAAACTCCCCCCCCCCTCCTTATTAACCTTCAAATCGATCCGAAACAAAAGTCTCAACTTGATAACATAAAATCTCCAAGAGTCCGAAATATCTGCAATATATATCAAACCCACATGCAAACAGCTCTATTTACATACCTATCACCTACATAAAGCCTCCGAAATAGCTGCAATATACATCAAACACACACCCAACCAGCCCTATATGCATACCTGGATCAGGTCATCGTTGGCTTCCAGCGAGGCTACTACAGTGCGATCGTCATCCCATTGCACAGAGGTCTCGACCACAATCCACCGCCTGAGCATGGACAGGGCCTGTCCCATTACGATTGAGTCGCTGGCAGCCATGATCGTCTTGCAGGCATTCACCTGTGATTGTGAATGGGTGGGTGATTGACGGTGTGAGGAGGTGTCAACAAGGATCTCTACACAGTCTTCTATCATACAAGGCGTATTTGTTGCAGAGCGACGTGCAACAAGTGGTATTGGGAAGACTAAAAACCTAACCACACTACCATCGAATCCATACAACTTACTACCCCTCGCCCACTACCACACACACATACCTCTAGAATACGACGTCGCATGTGCCAGTATAGGGTCTCACGAGACTGGCGCCATTTGAGAATATCGGACACGCAGCCCTTCTGCTTCATTCGGTCGGCTCTGTCGTGCAGATCGGCGAATTGAACAGCAACCTGATGGTACACGGACTTCATCTCCTTCTCGCGCTTCGCAATCTGATTGGTGGAAAGATGTGTTCTATATTTAGATCCAGGCAACTCCCAAGGACTCACTCGGTCTCGACCTTGGAAAGAGATGTTTTTCCTTAACAAGTCATCGGAAAGCACATAGAATGCAAGATATTAGCTTAATCACTTCGGGACCGTATACAAACTTACACAGTGACCACTATAAAGGTTTATGTATATATATCATACACGTCCTTATATTCATAATTATACTCACCAATTGGTCGAGCTTCTCCACAACGGACGATGCGCGCTTGGCCTCGTCCACTTCGCTGTCATCGCCAACACTGAAGGTACGAGCGGGTGACGGTGGTGGTGTGTTGGCTAGTGAATCTGAATGGCGGGTAGTGAGTGAAGCAATGGCCACCTGTTCGAGGGCCTCCTTGCGTTGCTTGATGAGATCGGCGTACACGGCGTCGTTCTGCAGCATGACCCTGTAGATGGAGAGAGTGAGGCAAGGAAAAGAACTTAGCGGGGTGTGCATTTGATGGACGTGAATGTGTGTGTTGCTCAATGTGTATGCACGTGCACGATTATTATCAGACATGCATGCCAGGGAGTGCCTCAGCGCACGCTGAATTCAGAATATAAACACCCAACCACATCATACTTGAGCTGATCTCCCCATCGGAACTTGACGGAAACGGTACCCTCGGGCTCCAAGACCCCACCGCGGGCGTCCTGGTCACAGTACATCTCCATCATATCGGGATTGATTGCAGGATCCACAACCACCCACGCGCCACCTCTGAGTTCTCCGTACGGTGGGATGTAGATCAGTACGGGCTGTTGGAAGTCCTTGAGAGCGCTAACAATCTGTGCCCCGAACTTGAGGACCTCGTCTAACATGTCGCGCATACCACCGGAGAACCCTCTCCAATTGGCGAAGATGATCAGGGGCAGACCCTCCTTGTCGATGTCGCTGATGCTCTGTGCGGTCTTGAAGGCCGAGTCGGGGAACCACACCTGACCAGCCTGGTTTTGGATGCTGCGGATGGAAGAGATGGAGACAAAGGGTGCAATGGGAGTGGGTTGTTAGTAATCAGACCCGATTGAGAGTGGGATAACCGAACATGACCGGAAAGTGGTACATCACACACGTGATGCATATACATACGTACATGCATGCATATACATACGTACATGCATGCATATACATACATATACATATATACATACGTACATGCATGCATATACATACATATACATACCTACATGCATATACATCTATACATTGCATATAAATATAGACAATGGACTCACCTGCTCTGAGTGTCGATGTTCGCTGGATCGGCCGGGGTGGCCAGTTCCACAGTGCGCGTCTCAACGGCAATCACACCCACGGGAATGCCACCTAGACGAGCACGACCAGTGACAACCGTCTTGGCCCAGCCTCCGAGGGTTTCCATGAAACTGTCGCGATCAAAGAACCCGGTCTTGAAGCTACAGGGGGAGGGGAGAGGTAGGTATGTATGCGAGTGTGTGGTTAGGAGTATTGTAGGCCTTCTGAGCCACGAGGAGAAGATTCTATGTGGATCAACGAGGGTGGCTAAATGAAACACTCCACAGGCCCACAGCTGCGTATACACATATGCATAGTCGCAAAACACACACACATATATATATATACATATGTGTGTGTGTATATGTGAACGTTATACATACCTTCCATCTGTATCAGTGAAACCAGCAAGCATGTGCCTGGGATCGTACGCGTCTATCTTAGACGGCATGAAATCAATCGGTCGGTCGACTGGGTCGGCGACATCACGCAGCATTCGGCAGGGTAGAGGCGAATTGCGACTGTGGACAATAAACGAGTAGAATGGTCATGAGAACAGAGTGCTTTTACACACTGTTAAATAAAAAAAGTGCCTAATAGCGATTGCTACTAAAGCGCAATTAAACACGTACACCGATGGATACTTATACTTACGTCTTGGGCACATAGGCCAGCCACTGCAGGATCTTGTAGACACCGTCGTAGTCGTCCTTGCTAGTCAGGTGCGACACACCGTTGTGGTACATGATCTGCGTGCCTCCCAACTGCTGGTTACTGGTGTACACCTTGCTTCCCAGCAGCTTGTTGATCGCTTCGGCACCGGTCAGGATGATACTACTGCCCTCTACCTGCACGGTACGCTGGCCTAGACGCACGAGATAGGCTCCGATACCCACAGAGCGGCATGACACGAGTGTGATGGTGAACGTGTCCTCGTATGCCTGTGCAGTCTCTCCGGCAATCATACCGGAACCGTGAAGATTCTCCACACCCAGACCGTCGTCCTTGCCTATTGGGAGCATTAGTGTGTATGACACAGGTATAAGAGTGTGCGCGTATGGGGGTTTTTTTAAAGTGGAACGAGCATCGGAAATATAAGGCATCTATATAGAACAACAAGTCACATACCGACGACAGCCTTGATTTCGTAACGGACTTCCCCATCGACAATGATGCGCTCGGATACAACAGATTTCTCAGACATCTCCGCGTGATCAGCTTCGGTCAGGTATAAGTACTCGAAACCCTTATTAGGCGCGTTGGGATCCTTCCAGCAGATCTGTGATTGGTAGGCCACGAGCACCAATTGTTGAGTATGGTTAGAACAAACCGGGCTACTACTAGCTTGCGGCAGTCTAGAATAATGTCTTTCGATTTCTAAACGTCAAGCAATATTTCACTATATGATCTTTTTTATCAATAAACCACTAACATACCTTGAACTTGGCCATGACCTCCTTCGCCAAGCCAATGCGGGCTCCACTGTTGACGGATACGTAAATGCGTGGGATACCCTCCTCACGCGCCATCTGCGACGCTTGTTGGAATACCTGAGATGCGTGTGTAATAGTATGTGAGCATGAGCACGTGTTATGCATGCGCATGTGCTACCACGACCCAAATCACACTCAGTGCTTGAGCTCCACACAGTCTTTACTACCCATAAATCTACCGACAGAATGGGTGAGTTCGTTCGTGGTATACATATGACCCGGGTGCTGAAAGATATTCATAACCATACAACCAATACGACACACACCTTGTCTTCTCTGACTCCGAAACTACCGATGACATGAGTGATATCATTGCAGATTAGTATAGCCTCTCGGCCTTCGGGGTACTCCGGAGTGTACATCTTCAAACGTCTTGCACTCATACCCACGTCCGCGTACTCATCGAAGAGCTCCTTGGACTGAGATGGTACCAGAATGTCCTCCTGTGTGCAACGCAAATACGATATCACAATGAGCCAAGATCCAGTGTGTGTACCAATACATCTGCAGCATGAAAACGTTCAACACCGAAGAATCCGTTAATTTAAATGCATACAGATAAGAAACACACCTTGTTCAGCACGTAATCGGTAACCTCGACCAGTTGCGAGTGCTTGTGCTCGGCATTGAGAGTGGCCGCTTGGGGCTCACTCCAGAGCTCACGCAGTCCTTGACGGAACAACTCGGGGAAATCCTGGATAAACGAGGTAAAAAAGTATGAGATAAATGCACGAAGGTAACGGTCATTAGACCTTTCAAGATGGATGGATATGTATACATATATATATATATATATCATGAGCAATTTATATGATGTGCACACATCAAGATAACGTCGAACACGATTAGTTCGTTTTAAGAGACACGAGTACTGATGATTGGATGGCGTTTAAGCAACACCTACCTTGACGAAAGTGGTGTTGTTGCTTTGTGCTTGGAAGCGCTTGAGCTGCAGTCGACTCTTAGTGGAATACGGCAGAGAGGCATCTTGTCCGTGCATAGGGCCTTCGTAGTCCAAGGGGAAGATGGTCTGGAAACTGACTTGTTCCAGTTCCTTGTTGTACACCTCTGTGAAAAGTATTAAGTGGGATATTAATAGAATTCTAAAAATAGATCGGCAAACAGAGCAAGGATGGGTGCTTGGTGCTTGCTTGGGTACACACACACACAAACATACATACATGCATACATACATACATACACATAAAAACATATACACACACAACCATACATACCTTCGTACACCACAATGTTGAGTGCGAAACCCGTGTCGTTGTCAATCATGACACGCAGGTGAGAGACGGAGTCATCACTCTCGTTTAGCAACGCAGCTAGCTTGATCTCAGCCTGAAGCACACGATTCTTCCAGAAACGCAGGCCATGGCGTTCAACCAGCGACACCAGCGACTCCAGCAGCGACTGCAGATCAATCGCCACTGCACGATGTACCAGGAGAGACGATGATGAGATGGGGTGCGAGGAGAGGAGATGAGTGAGATGAGATGGAATAGGATGAGGAAAACGGATGTGCAAGAGGAGAGGAGAAGGAAAAGAAGGAGATGAGACGAGTATGAGACAGGGAGGATGATCTCAAATACCTACGCACACATATCCATTGGCACGCGACCAGAGCTACATATGTATATCGAAGTAGGCTAATCAACATGCGCTGTATGCAAAATAGTCTCGAGATGTCTGAACCAAAAAACCCCCCCCCCCAAAAACCCAAAAACATACCCGTTGGCACAAAGTTGAGGAAGATCATATTACAGTCGGTGCGTGGGTAGTCTGCACTGTTGTTGAAAACCTCGAGTTCGTTCAGGGCCTCCACGACCACACGCTCACCCTCGTTGAAGAAGTACTCCAGGGACGCTCTAAAGGGAAAGACATACATACGAGGTATGTTAGATACGCTTGTATATGGATGACAGAGACGGGTATGAAACACGCCCAGGTTTAAGAGACGTATGTATTCGGGAACAGTCTTATTAATGATATAAACGCATATGCACACGTATATGCAGATATGGAATTCCTCTCGGCAGGCACACAAATACACATGCGTATACAGGCATAGACAATACCTCTTGGAGAGAAGATCCGCGTGTCTGATAATAGAACGCATGAAGAAGCGTCGATCGACGGCATTCTGCGACACGCCCTTGGCACTGTTATCCTTGGCCTCAGAGTAGTACAGGTGCACACCCAGGTTGTTGGTAGGGACGTAGGTGATGTTGTAGTTCTCGAGCTTGAACAGTTCCAATTGGAAGGCTAGGGCTGGCTCCAGATGGCGGTAGATGGAGTCCTGGGAGTCGCAAGGGGAGTGGGAATTAGTGGGTGGGGGTGGGGATAGTGTGAAACTGGTTATGAATTAGTGCGGGTATAGTGGCAGGCTTTCGACCTGCTCCAATGGACATGCTAAGCCCGGACTATAAAAATATACTTAGTATACATTCAAGACACATATACTACATGACAAGGCACATACAGCGAATTCACCACCCACCCATACATGTATACATACATACACACACACGCACCTCTTCGTAGTCGAAGCGATCGCGGAAGGTGAAGTACTTGGGGAAGCTGCTGTTCTGCAGAATCAGGAACGACACCCGGCGCACTTGTCTCTCGCGCAGCACGTCCTTGAGCCCAGCCATCTGCTCCGCAATCACCTGGGAGATCTGGTCATCCGTCACCTCAAAGACGGAATCCTGTACGGGATTTGAGGGTAAGGGACGAGACGGGTTTTAAGGTAAGTCTTGAAGGTATGATGTACATACCTACTACACTCGGCTATGCCTGAAATATGAGACCACTCTCGGCTATCACAAAATATACAGCTATAACAAGATATACACGCACCGTATCAATATCCCCGGATCTGCCTGGCAAGTGGGTAAGGGCAATGTTAAGGATGTTCATGGCAGGACGGGTAGAGGCGGGCGCCTTCGTGGGGAAGCGTCGGATCAACTCCTCGGCATGCTTGCGGAACTCGGTCAGATCAGCGAACAGAGCCATGGCACCGTGTCTGCGATAGTGAGGAGAACATTGGTTGTTAGGTGTATATGGATGAATATAGATAGATATACAGATGCAGACGTATACTATTTTCTAACGTGTATGCTCGCATTCACCCCTAACGGTAGTTACCATTGGGCCGCACGTAGATACACACACGTCGCATACATACATACATACATTTATACACAGATATGTCTATCTATCTATGCGCAAGCTGCTTCGCCTGCCCGCCTACAACCCACCAGCTAACCCACCCACCCGCTTACCTGGCCCAGTCGTTGTCCTGGTACAGCTTGTCCAGCTGATCAACCTTATCACTGATACTAGCCACGCGTTTGATGCTGTCCTCCTTGCCCATGGCACTCAGATTGGACGAACTCGTGCGCGTGTGCAGTGACAGGCTCTTGAGTGAGTTGAGTGAGTCGCTTCGCCTGTGTGCGAGGCCTGACGACTCGGTCTTGTCGTGGCTGGTAGGGGTGGGGATCATCAGTCCCTCGTTGGTGGTGTTGGCGCCGATGGTCAGATTAGCCGTCTTGGCGTCGATCATGTGCTTGCCGTAGCCTGCGAACAGATGTCTGTAGGTGTGGTATTGAGAGAGTGTTTGTGAACAGATGTTTGTGGTATTGAGAGAGTGTGAGCGATTGTTTGTGAACAGATGTCTGTAGGTGTGTGCGGTATTGAGAGAGTGTGATTGAGTGTTTGTGAACAGATGTCTGTAGGTGTGTGCGGTATTGAGAGAGTGTGATTGAGTGTTTGTGAACAGATGTCTGTAGGTGTGTGCGGTATTGAGAGAGTGTGATTGAGTGTTTGTGAACAGATGTCTGTAGGTGTGTGTGTGGTATTGAGAGAGTGTGAGTGAGTGTTTGTGAGTGCGTGCGAGTGAGTGTGTGGGTCAGGTCATGTGGTGCCTCGCAGTGTCAGAGACTGCAAAACGGCAATCCTCACACACAAATCCTAAAGCCAAATCTACAGCGACCCGTATTGGAACAAAAGTGTATATGCTATACATTATCAGGAACTGGATTTGAATTTCCTATAAACTTACACACACACACACACCTGATGTTGGGGTGAGACTGAGGCAGCAAGAACTTCCACTCGACCACACGGTACTTCTCATTGACCATGTCGTGCTTGATATTCTGGATCTGGTACGCGCGATAACTTCTGCGCACGTACACCTCGAGTGCCGCGTACTGAATCTCGCGGTTGTGGTGACGGAAGAAGTGCGTGATGGTATCAAACACTGCCACACTCTCGTCCACCAACAGCTGCAGACTGTTCCCGGCTCCCTGGCCTTGGTCTTCAATGGCACTCTGGATGAAGATCTCCATATCCAGGCATCGTCGCTTGAAGGACGGTAGCGTGCTCTGGATCAGCAACTGACGCGCCCGCACGGCCACGGGACTTGATGTCTTGTGGGTGAGCGTTGCGAGTTTCTCCACAATGCGCTTCTCGTCCTCGCCCATGTGTCCACTCTTGTCACCGATAAGAGCTACATGGGTGGTAGGAGGGGGGGGATGAGGGAAGAAAGAGGTGAACGGATGGGTTTGGAGGGGTAAGAAAACACATGGGGAAGAAACACGTATGTGTGTGATAATAACCTGAGCATGCACGCTGAAGGGACTAATACATATAGACCGAAAGACATATCATCGTATAGTGCGATCCTACCTGACAGTAGCAGCAGGACGACCTTGTTCTTCTGGGTGGTGCGGCTGTGACTGCGCACAATGTCGACGAGGCCGTTGGTGTCTTCACCATCCTTCTTGCGGCGTTCGCTCAAGGCGTACAGGATATCGCCCAGGCCTTGTCCTCCAGGGGTGCTGTGAGGGAAAAGACACGTGCATGATTATTAGGATTGTGCATAATGGTATATGTAAAAGATCAACGTGCAATATATACATATACATCTCAAAAGAAAAACCATCCCGACTCTACCAGATGTACAAAGAATATATACATATACATCCAAAAGAAAAGTTATCCCGACTCTACCAGATGTACAAAGTATGATGCGATAAGGGTGTAGTCTGGCTGTGCTAGTATTAACACACCTGAAGATGCTCTCGACGTCGTAGTACTTGGCCAGGAGAGTCGTCAGGATGGTCTTCTGGTGGCCACGAACTCCATTGCGATACTTTTGGATTAGCTGAGTGTTGAAGCAAGTGATCAGGCGGTTGTTGTGAGTGAGTGAGTGATACAGTCATATCTCAAGAAGCATAAACAGCCGGGGCGCCATTCTGTGGCAAACTCCGAGCTTGCTCACCGTGAGAAGAATTGATATCCAAATATAGAAGCCACGGTACGAATGATCCCGGAACAACTATATCTATAAATAGGAGAGGAAACTGGAAAATAAAATGTTACCGAAACAAATACGTAAACCTATCTCACCTGGAAGATTGGGGTGGCAGCGGCGAAGAAGTCGTCTCTCTCACCCTTGTTCTTAAGCGATGCCGCATACGTGTCCAGCACGGTTGCGATAGCTGAAAGGCGAGTGGAAAGATGTGAGACGGGTGGTTCCTATGTATTATGCAAGAGCAATCACTTACATATATATATATATATCATACACTGGTACTCGGAGGGAAGTTAAATATTGTATACACCTACCTTGAGTGGGGAAGGAGCAGAACATAGAGTTGACACTGTAAGCGTACGTGGTCAGCTGAGCGTTGATGTCAGCTGACACATGTGCAGGGATACGCGAGGCGATGGCCGCCATAATCTCCTGTAACTCCAGCAGTGGCAAGTTGGCGTCAGACAGCGCCGTCTTGAGCTCACGGACTAAGGGAGCGCATCTGTATGGGAAGGGTAGTGACGGGAAGGATGTTTGATACGGTTGAAGTACAGGTAAGAAGGCGTTAGGGTAGCCTAAGGTGTGGGTGTATCATACACAGGCATACGGATGATATATTGACCCCTCCCAACAGTTCCGAGCTCTATATGTAGGTACATGCATGCACAAGCGTGCAAATAATATACACTACACACATATATACAGCTCTATGCATACAGGTGTACATATATACAAACAGACGGTAGGCTCATGCACACGTACACACACCTCTGAGAGAACAAGGGCTCCTCCACACAGTATCCATCCAGGATGGTGCTGACCTCAGCAATGCAACGGCTGGCGATTTGGTGCACCTTCTCATCCTCACGGGTCAATCTATGGCGATAGTTAGTTCAAAGATAAATTAGAATAGGTCGGAAGTTGGTTCAGGGAATTGTCCTTTTTGTTATGAAGATTTGGATACCGTAGCAGCAACTTAAACCGTGAAAACTATTATTTAAGGAACACTAACAGAAGAAGGTAACCAACCTAGTCGTGAACTCGTACCCTTGAACATATATATACGATCATATATATGTATATACGCTAAACATACCCTTGCAAATAAGGTGGCAGTTGTCCTGTGAAAGGCTCGGCGGGTCTGATAGCATCTGCATCATCGAGTGTTAGCTTGGCCATGATGTCACCGGAAGATAACACACTGCCCGGCTGCAAGAGCGTGCGAATGGTACCTGCAGAATAAAAATTATTGAAATATATGAGTACATACGTAAAATATATATGTATAGGGATGTAGCTATATATATAATGCTCTTGAACGTATGACTACGTGTGCATACTACTGTACCTAAATATCCACCATTCCAAACACCTCCACCAATGCACATGCACCATTGCAAGGTGTCTTCAACCCACATACACGCATACAATACACACACACAGAGAGAGAGTGTGAGAGAGAGTGAGATGTCATACCTGCGTGATCCACGGTAACCGGCATGACCATTTTCATCACTTCAATTTCCGCCACAGCGGTGTTGGCGTCCACGTGAGTGAAGTCTTCCACCAAGTAACGAATCAGCTTTCCGGGAGAGGTCGATCGCAGCACAGTGGGATCGTTCTCCTTCTCGAACATGATGGTCTACAGGGTGCGTTATTTGCGGTGTTGGGTGTTAGGGTTTTCGGGTTGGATCGTTCTGTTGTTCAGACAAATGCCAATCACTCTATCAAGAAGTGCATACCCACGTAAACTGTGTACAATGCCATATATATATATATATACATACATACATATGTATATATATATATATGTGTGTGTGTGTTCGTGTTTGTTTGCGTGTATCCACTCATCCAACCGCATTCATTACCTTGCTATTCACAATCACACGGTATCCGTCGACCTCCTCCTTCATGTACACCACATACGATGTGGTATTGAACTCCACCAGACTACCACCGTCGTTGAGAGGCTCGCGCGTTGTGTCCACGTGCAGGCCGTTGATAATGACCACAAAGTTAATGGAACCGTTTTGTGATACGCTGATGGTGTACTTAACCCCGTCGTGGATAAGGTCGAGGTTCATGGAGGTCTTCAACATATCCTGGTCCAGGAATTGACCTAAATGCCGGGGTTGGCGAGAAGGAAGATAGTACATATACGTAAGTTTGGATGAAAAACTGGGACGGGACATGGCAAGAACAGGTCGGTGTTTAGAATCTAATCCGTACCACATATGCAAGATATATGTATACTTATCTAATGCAAAATCTAATCGATACCACATATGTAATATATACGTATATTCATCTAATGCAAGATGTATGTATATTCATCTTGAATGTTTCACGTGCAACATATCTGTGCATGTATCTCAAATGTCAACGTTTTGTCGATACGGATACAAAACGTAACACATTGAACACGCACACACCTCGCTCGACGCTCTTGAGGTACAGGTCGTAGTTGGTCTCAAATGTGTTGGCGCAGATGTGCACCGCCGCACTAATCACCGACGTCATGACTTCGGGCTTCTCCGACTGCAGCTTCTCGGCAATGAGCTTATCCAGCCAACCCGTGCTGATCTATTAAGAGAAGGAGAGGAGAATATATAGTGTCAAAAGCACGGTAGTGTAGGTAAGTGGCGAACAACCTAACATAAACTATTGGTCAATGCAAAAAAGGCTTCACTCTCTGATCTATCTCTATCTTATCATCTATATACCTACATCTATATCATCTCTATAATCATATACATATTAATAATAGACCACCCTACCTTGTTACGCAAGAAAGCATCGGTTTCCAGCAACATGACGATGTACTCGACAGTTGTGCGGATCTCTCCTCGGATAGACACTTCTCGCAGAGCCACCGCCATATTACGGCGCGCGTGGTCACGGTCTTCTCCCTGTAAGATAAAACAATAGCCCAGTTTAATCCTATATCATTGTAAGATAAAGCAATAACCCAGTTTAATCCTATATCACTGTAAGATAAAACAATAACCCAGTTTACTTCGCTAACACATGCACATTTGGGTGGAGGACGGAGTGATGGTAGTCTTGTGTGGGCGCTCGCGTTGTGTGGGCGGGACTACAAGCCAAGAGGGTATGGACAGACATCTGACTAAGATGGTTGTCGAAGGCAATCCCAACCTTACGAACTTGTCCCTGCCAAAACCGTAGGCGAATTGGGGATCTGTGGTCTGTATGCGTTTCCCCGTTATTAACTATCATTGCACGCAAAGCATGCCTATAACTAATACTGCCCCGCTGTAAACAAGACCACCGTGGCACAAACACACACACATACCCAAGCGAAGATGTGGCCGAATTGGGAATCGGCGTACTCGTGCAGCGCTCCACTGCCATCGATGGAGAAGTAACCCCACACATTCGTGCTACTGCGGAAGTTCAGGTTGGTGATGTTTCCACCGGTTGGCTTGAATCCTACGTGACATGGCGACAGACGAGATGAGAGTGGACAGGTTAGCATCGTATCACAGCGCACATCAGAATGTATGCAGGGATTGTACATGTGTCACTACACCGACTACTACAACACACACCTCTACGAGGTATATCACACAGTCGCACATCTATAACACCCACACTACACTACATCACACCTTCGTCAGGGTTTTCAGCCGTAATACGCGCGGCGATGACGTGACCGTTCGCCTTTCTTCGTTTGCTGAAGTCGTCAAAGTCGATCTCGTTGTCACCGAAGGCAGACTCGCCGTACAACATACGGATGTCTTTCATGCGGTGCAAAGGAATGCCCATGGCCACCTGCAGCTGCGCGGCTGGCAGGTTGACATCTGACACCTGCGGGTACATGTGTTTGTAGGGTTTAAATTTTAGGGTTTGTGTGTAGGAGTGTGTGGATTCGTGTGTTGCGGGCGAATATGGATCTGTGTAGATAGGCATGTGTGTACACAGAGGATTCGGTATGAGGACTACGTGCCTGGCATCTCTATGCGTATGCATGTATCAACGTATCTATCTCATTGATATAGGGACTGATAGGCGTGTGCCTGTGGTATAAGCAGAACACGCGTGTGCAAACAGGTGCCATAGTAGAGCCTACTCGAGAACATATGACGCATGCTTGCGACACTACGTGACGAACCAACCGCGGGATATATATAAAAATACAACACGTACCATTTCAGTGCACGGATGCTCCACCTGCAATCGAGGGTTCAGTTCCAAGAAATAGAACTGCTCCTTTTCTTCGCCCTCGGTGCCCTCTTCGGGTTCTTCGTATAGATACTCAACAGTACCAGCGCTCTGTGTCGATATTAGGGTTTCGGGTTTTAGGGTGCGTATGTTAGTACTGTGGTTGATACGAATGTGTGTGGATGTATACCAAACTGAAGGGTTCGGTTTGTAGTTAATGCGAGTATAGGTGATTATACATGTTCGTTGTGTCTACGACTATACTCCACTTCGTATCCAGCATGCCTAGCTCAGCGAACAACTGCGTTCTCCATAGCTTCAAACGTAAACTAATGCTATATGTGGAGTGTTATAATTCACTATGCAAATTAATTCCGATAGTGTAGGTATGCACATACTCGAACAACCATATTTATACACGTACAATTTATATCTTACCTGGTAACCGACGAGTTTGGCTAGGCGAATAGCTGCCTTTTCCATTTCCTCGAACGTGAGCGGATCGGCAATGGCTGCGGGAGCTTCTTCAATGATCTTCTGGTGACGTCTTTGTACTGAACAATCACGACCGAACAGAGATATAGCCTGGACGATGTATGTGACAGTGACTGGTTTGAGTATACATATATATCTGTATCAATATGTACATAGGAAAGATCGACTCAAATATGTAAACCCATAAAAAAAATAGAAGTAAAGAGCGTATAGACACAAAGATGTAATCAGCATGACTCATACAAATACGCGATACGTGCCAACCAACAGGCCGCAACCCACCCACTCACCCACCCCCCCACACACCTGTCCGTACTGATCGGCCAGCAGCTGCACCTCCAAGTGACGACTGCGCTTGGCCAGCTGCATGATAAAGATGGGTGACCCGGGCACTTCGTTCTGCGCCTGTCTGAAGAAGGCTGCGAACTGCTCGGGCTTCTCCACCTTACGGATACCCTTGCCACCTCCACCCTCAGAGGCCTTGATCATAACGGGGTAGCCAATGCGTTCGGCGGCTTCGGCACCCTCTTCCATGGTGGACACGATTCCTATGGGACGTATATGCATACATGTGTGTGCGTGGTCATGTTCAGAATGTTTCAGGGCGGGCGTTGTACGCATAAAAACCAAACCGGTTACCCATATAATGAGCATACGCCTCAGACCCACGTCATAGCACACGCACACAAACCAACACGCTGTGCCTTAACTAGTAGTGTAATACACTATATGCAATACCCTATCCTCCACACCGATCTGGAAATGACTGAACCAACCAAAATATTACTAGGTTGGTTGGTTCGGTCATTCACACCGTACTTACCCTTTTCGTACACATCGGCGGGGACCTCTAGATTTGCGCCGTTGAGATTGTTCACATCAATCGTCACACCCGTACCATTCCATGGCAAGGTGGGCACATCGGCAGACTGGGCTACAATGGATGAGGCGATCTTGTCACCTGGTAACGGAAAGGTACTCGTGGTGTTAGAAAAAGAAGGTGCTTGTTGTGCGAGATCTGCCATCTAATTAATTAATAAATACATATATATATACATAAGTATGTATATATATACATGACTATGTATATATATACATGTGTATGTATGTATATGTGTATATATATAAACGTAAAACACGGCGACAGTGACAGAACTGTCCCCAATACACAACATCTATCTGCACGTACCTAGTGCGTCCATGGCACTCGCGGGAGGGCCGATGAAAGCAATGTCTATACGTCTGAGCATAGTGGGAAGCTTGGGGTTCTCTGAGGCGTGACCCCAGCCAGCCCACACAGCCTGCACATTAGTGCGTTGGGCTATGTCCACAATAAGCTCTACATTGGCGTAGTTATTGTTGTTGGTGCCTCCGGGAACCTTGATGTAACGATCCGCCATTTTGATGTACTCGGCGTTGACCTGAGTGAGGGGGTGGGGGTCGGACGAAACAATATGTTACGCACAATTTGGATGCACATACCTGGCCATATGCAAGGCTAATTCGCACGAAATCTTTACACGTTCCGAAAAAAACACTTATATGTATGTATGTATATATATATATATATATATATGTGTGTGTGTATATAAGTCTTTGTGTAGCAGATACGACATTCGTTCCATACCTTGATATCCTCGGGCGTGGCCATGGCAACGAACTTAATCGCTCGCTCGTCGCCGAACATCTCATAATTGAAACGGCGGATAGATCGGATGCATTTGACAGCGGCGATACCATTGTTCGCAATCAAGACACTTGTAATCACACGTGTACCTCCGCATTTGGCCACAAACTCGGCCACTGCCTTTCTACTGATATCTGGGGGGTATGGAGAGAGAAACAAATGTCAATGCGCGATATAGGTTATATATCATAACGTATTGATACGCTAGCAGGATGTCTAAACAGCGTAAGGGTGAGTGATGTTCGAGGATACAAATATCGTAAGAGTATCAATATATGACGATGTGAATTCTAGCAGGATGCCAACACAGCATCAGACCCAAATCACAGTCTCACAAAATTTCAGTAATAAGATAATTTATCTTCATAAAAATACGATGTAGACATTTATATATATTATTATTATATATATATATATATATATATATATATATATAATAATATATATATATATACATGTATATAATAGTATATATATATCTATATATATATATATACATATATATGATATATATATACATGGTTTATATATATATAAATACTATTCTATATATACACGTAATTTATATCTAGTTACAAATATATAATATGTTTTGTTATATGTTATGTTATATGTTGTTAAATGAATTATGATATATGATATATATATTTTGTACATATATATTATTATATATGATATATTCGCATATTTATATTATTTGCGTGTGTATACCGTGCATGTGTGAATGCGGTACAATTTCATCACTTTCCAGCTTAACGCATACCTATATCGTGTATATATATATATATATTACTAATACAATAAGTCTGCCACGTTATTCACACATCGACCTACCTGCATCATCTCCATTCTGTTCGCTGTGTGCCATCTTGATATAGTTTAGTTAAATGCTGCTGTGTGTTTATGTATCTATGTGTAGATTATAGATTTGTCGTGTAATCGTCTGCTCGCGATTCGTTTGGTAATGTAGGCAGCTCTCTGGTTACTGAGGCTGGTTGTGAACGAAAACTGATTCTTTGAAAATTGGACAGACTAAGTTGGGAGTGGAGAATCCCAAAGTATAAATATCAAAACTAAAAATTACAAATCGCCCCAACCAAACCGGCGCAGCGAAATACTTCTTTCTATGCAAGAATTGAAGAAATATATAAAATTAGATAGACATCTGTAGTCATTGAGAGTACTGCTTTGCACGTATTCAATATTCACAGTTTGTACAAGACACAAATCGCAACACAAATATGACAGTACCTCTCTCGTAAGTATTCCCCTCTCTGAGTAGCAATATATTACTTTGACACATCTGTGGGGCATGCAACCCAACCCATGAATGCTCCGCTCCGCGTTCCTATTCGGCGAAGAAAATTGCATGACACGCAAATGGTTTCCAAAACAGACGGGGTGGAAATGGGAATCGTGATTTACGCCGACAACATACGATATAAATACGATGACATACAAAGCCAAATTTCAGCTAATTTCGGTTTCTAAATATAGTTTGTAGCCGCTTCTGGATGGTAACATAGCCTTCCTCAGTTTCTATTGGACACGAAGTACAGGCCACGTATTTTTTTTCTTCTGTTTTTTAACTTTTATCTAATTTGATTTTTGGTTTCAAACCTTCTTCTAAATAATATAATCAGACAGAGCCTCTCAGAGGGCAATAAATAAATAAAAAGATTTTGTTTTGAAAAATCTTTTTTTTATAATACACTTGAAGAAAATAAGATGTCAAATATATTTGAAATATCTGAAATTTGAAACAATCTGAAATCTGGGTCGTGTCGGACGTGTCCTCTTTCTTTTCTGAGGGGTCCGTGTGTCACAAACTGTCATAGTTGTTGTTGTCAAAGGTCAAAAACTTCAAAAGTTCAAAGTAAACTATTACTCTCCCTCTCAGGCGGGTCCCTCTCACTTAGGCCGGTTTTGCCAACTTTATGAAATTATGAAAATAATTTCTTGGATGAAGTAAAACACCTTACTCCGGTAACTAAATTGTATTTTTTATGTCCTTTTGCTGAAATTATGCAGCGTATTTGAAATTCTGGAAAATTTTCAGGACAATTTGAAACATGAAATTCTTTCAGATTGTCCCGTTTGGCAACTTTATATTACAAGACTGCACCTCCAAGAAATTCTCCTCAAAATTCGAAATCCAGAATTTTCCTTTAATAAGTGAAAACGAGGGTCAGACAGCGTTTTCACTTATGTACGTAAATATACATGATGAACAGATTCTAGCTGTTAATTCCAACCAATGGATGGGGTTTTACGATAAACAAAAATAGAATTGACAACCGCCCACTATTTCAACGGACTCGTGCGTTTGTCAACTGGAAAATGTACTTTTTTTAGGAAGTTCTGGGCTGCCCTACAGCCAGAATTTGTTGGACTGGCTAGAATTTTTTTAATCGAATACTGGAAAAGAAAATATCCGAAATACAGCCCACAATTCCAAAAACAATAATTTCCTCAGAATTTTATAAAGTTGGCAAAACAGGCCTTATTGTGTGTCTGAGAGTACAGACTCAACAGAGACTGATGAGCGAGTTGTGATTTGTGAAGTCTCTCTCTCTTGTCTCTGCTTGGGATTCGGAGTTGTGACTTGCGACTTGTTGACTGTTATCATATTCTGTTGTTGGAACTTGAAAACCCTAAAAATCAGAATCACATCACACATGGAGAATTGGAGATTATTTGTAAATAAAGTATCCGTGGCACGGGCACCTGAGTCAATTTCAACTCGGGCAGCGAGGAATTTCGACTCAACTAGCTCATAGTTAAATACGCAAGAGTTTTATAAGACAGTCCAGAAATTAAAACACACAAAATACTGCCAACCAAGAGGGACTGACACTCGACAGTTCTTCATTCCGTGGTATTTAAAAGAATTGGAAGCTAGTAAAAGATCAAAGACAACACAATGAACATAATTTCCGACGTCGAGATCTATGCTGTAAAGTCGTTTTGATAACAACTTTGGGCCTCCAGGCTCCTTGAGTAGTTGGGAACTCGGGAACTTGGGATTTGGATGAGCAAATGGCTCTATTGAAATTTGAGCTACGGATAATATGCCGTATTTATAGCTACAAACGCTGTTTATTTGTAATAAAATCACGTACAATTTGTATTTGTTTGAGACTTGAGAGTTGAGATTGTGTAGTCTGGGGATGCCCCCAACTCCCACTGTATATAAGGGCGGAACAGTCGCTTTTATTTTAACCGGTGGTACATACGAACACCGGATTGTACGCACTATTCGGTATAAAATAATCATATAAATGTGCTTTTGTGACTTGTGAGCTGCTTTTCGATGGTGCGTCCTGTATAGTTGATTGTGCATACTGCACAAGGATGCCAGCCTTGTTGTCAAACTTTGCAATAATCCCAAAGCCTCCAATCGAACATGACATTCCAGTATTTTATACGCAATGAAAGATGACATCGTTGTTTATATTTCTGTCTGATCTTTTGTACGAAAGATTGCCGCTTGAGATATTGCTACGTATTGCATCATTCGTTCCTTCATGTAGCCGGTGCGCACGCACTAGCATTGACTCTCTACCCGTAGCCGTATGCGAGTGTTGCGGTGACCATTTTTGCCGGGTGTGCGTGGACCTCTACTGCACCTGCTGCGTCTGCGATGCTATTGCTTTGGTATCGCCACAAATTGAAGGCAACTTGCCTGACTGGCATGCTCAGAAAGAATACATTAAGTCTCTTTTCGAACCCATAGAAATCTCTGATAGCCAGTCTCACAATATCACACAGGCAGCAAGGTGTTTAAAGGGTGATGAAAGTCAATCCGAATCGAGCGTACAACACTCACCCGTAGTTGGAAACACTCGAATGGGCGCAAAACACGTTCACAAAGATAGGACTAATCAGAACGGCAAGGTTGTTACTCCTACATACATTTCTGTCAGTTGTTCCGAGTTCCTCAAATCGCCCGGCTGGCATCTGTGTTTACGGTGCGGTGACGGAGTCTGTCCAGACTGCAACCATTTTAAATCGTATCTTGCTGCTCTGTGCCCTAGTTGCTATCAAGTGCTTGAGGCTGGTGGCCTGCTTTAGACTCTGGTCAGTTGTCTTCCTTCAGATTGAGCTACTCGCCATATAGAGAGAGACGTACAATTGTATGGATTAGATTCATAGCGGCAGTGTAAAAAGTAAGGGTAGAGGGTAGGTTGAGACTACTTCGATTTACAAATGGCAGGCATACTCATAATTGTTTCTTTTGGATAAATTCTATTCATCGACACAGTCATAATTTGTATTTGCGTATATATATATATATATGCGTGTGTGTGTATGTATGTATGTATGTATGCATGTCTTTACGTATATTATATATATATATATATATATATCTGATATATATATATATATATACGATATACATCTTTACGTATATTATATA